TGTCCGAAGCTCTGGATGGTCTTGCCTCTCCTCATAGTCTCCTCACTCTGAAGGAGTTAGGCCTCCATACGGATCCTCCTGGTCTGGTCTGGTCTGTGATGAGTCAGCGGAAGGGGAAGGAAGAGTGTCCTGTACCCAGATTCAGGGAGCTGCTCCCTGCCTGGGCGTGTCTGTTTCAAGCAGGGACAAGCCTGGAGGGATCTGGGTGAATGGCGCTTAGGACAGAAGTTGGGTAAAAGCAGGGGATCGCTCACCTGGTCTGGTCTGTGATGAGTCCCATGTCTGTCATTTTTATGCGTTTTTCCTTTGCCATCCTGGACTGTCTGTGACGTCATTTGCCTAATCATCTTATTGAATCCCTTCATCAGCCATTTGGATATAGCTCTCATTCTGAAGACTGATCATTATCTAATTCTTCACATTGCATGTTGTCAAACTCCAGTCACCAACTATTAGTCTTTTGGGCTTTAGCTTTCCCAATGGTGTTAAGACGTGTTCAAGACAGGCTCTAGTTGTGCTGTAATTCCTTATATTCTAACTTTACTGTGTAATTGATGGTTTCCTGCTCACTGACTTGGCTTCCTTAGGTAGCTTTGCCAAGATACTTCCATTTGTTTTGAGCGTCTGATGCCCCCTGTCCCTGAAGATAACTTACTGGTGTGCACTAAAGAACTTGCAGTCGTCTCATGAGTTCCTTTGGAATTCCCATACAGTCGAGTCTACACTCATCTTGCACCTCCCTTAGTTTTGCCTGCGTTTCCCCTAATGCCATCTTATTAGAGAAACAGCATTTCACATATTTTTAAGTAATTGTTTTTTTACTCTTGTTGTCCACTAAGATCCACTCTCTTAGTTACTTTTCTTTTGCCTCCATATTTTCTCCACTTGAGTTTAGTCTCTCTGAATATGCTCAGTGCTTTCTCAAAGGAATCTTTTATACTGGTTCTTAGAGTTATCTCTGTCTTCCTCTTACACTAGAGAGTGGTATTTCTTGTTTTTCCCATGACTTACATCACTTGCCATCACTTTATTGAGCTTTGTCTCAAGTTGTAATTAATCAGAAATCACCTATCCTTTGTCCATCCTTCACTCCCCCCCCCAACATCCCCCACCCCCTACTCTGTGCTAGAAGCTGCTGGGTATTTTCCTGGAAGGTTGTTTGCCTCTGGTGGGCCTTTCAGTATCCTTCTCTCTTCTTCATTAAAGCCTTTTCTTTTCTCACTCAATATGTCTGGAAGGTGCTTGTCCCAACCCCTTTTTGAATAATCTGTGGTGTTAGTAGTCTTTTCTCTCCAAAGCTTCTCTTTTCAGTTCTGCTAACACTGAATCTATATGTATTTTCTTCATATTTCCCATAATACCTTTTTAAATGATTTAAAAAATTGTATTATTTATTTGAGTTTAGTACATTAGAGGGCATGCATATGCCACAGTGTATGTGTGAGTCTCTTTCTGTCTCTGTCTCTGTGCGTTTGCGCACACGCGTGTGCAGGTCAGAGGACAACAGGAGCTGGTCCTCTATGATGTGGATCCCAGGAACTGAACTCAGGTCGTCAGGTTTGATGACAAACACTTTACCTGCTGATGCATCTTACTAACCTTTTTAAATATATTCATCTGTTTTTAAATCAAAACTTGAATTATCATCTGTTGAAAAATGATTTCTTGTGCGTTCACTCTTGTGCACTTTCCACACTGTCTCCCAGCACCGATTACCATGCCTAGCCAAAAGCAGTCAGTCACTGTGTATCAAGTTTGAGCCTTCAAAGTCTTCTACAATTACCTCACAAGCTATAGCTGTAAGGTCACTTGGGAGCCTGGGCACTGTCTTCCTTTCCCAAGACTCTGCTGGCTCAGGGCTTTGTCCTTTTGCCCAGTTTTGCTTTAGGTTTTCTTTTGTTTGTTTATGCTATCCTTATCCCACATGACTCCATTTCACGTCCCTTGTAATTTCTCTGAGAGTGTTCCATGTCTCTCCTGTGCCTTCTCAGCAGTTTCTCTACCCAGAAGCCTCCCTTCTTGGCACTTCCCCCAGTCACAGTTGGCGTTTCCTGATCTGAGCTGGAGGCGAGCTAGCTCCCTTCTCTGAGCATTGTGTGTCTCCCTTAGGGAACTTTCCTTAACTACCATACTGTATTGCTGTTCGATTAGCACATCTGATGGACATGTTTACAGGCCCAGTAAGTAGACACCCAGACACAAACAAGCTTTGGTGCCTGGAACAGATACCAATGACTTTGATATGAGTGAGAATAATTAAGGTACAAATAGATGATTAAACATATTATTCTACCTTATAGAATAATTTTACTATGGTGAAAGAAGGGAAAACAGAGTCACTGAGAGAATTGTCTGCCATGAAAAAGAGTTGAGATAATACTTATTAAGGTTTACCAAATAGTGTTGAAAATGTTGATTTCTTTATCTAAGTCAAATATGAATTTGACTTAGAAGTTTAATAAATTCTAGTTCCATTCCCAGGTCCATCTTCTATTCCTATTGGAAGATGACATATTTTAAATATTATTTTTGGATATCCCTAAATATTATTTGTTAAAAATCAGTCATAATTTTATATTTCATTTTCTGTTCATTTTTAAAATGTATTTTATTCCTCTGGCAATATTTTCTATTAGGCTCCAACAGTTTTTATATCTTTTGGGCAAGTGGTTTTCTGATGACTATCTTATTCCTGGATGACATTTAAAATTATGGCTACCTCGTAGCATAAGCAGTACTGTGGTTCCAAACCTTTTAAAACACCCATCTTGTGTGTGACCCATCTTGTTGCTGGGTTTGCTGTTACCTTTTGGTATTTTGTTTATGAAGTTGACTGACTTAGCAGAATTTGTCTTTAAATATTATTTGCAATGACATGAATCATAAAGTAGTAAACGTTCATGAGAAATTTAATTCTCCAGGATAGCACCATGTGAGTGTGCGTGTGTGTGTGTGTGTGTGTGTGTGTGTGTGTGTGTGTGTTCCTATTGTAAGAAAGGAGAAAGAATAGTATCAAAATATGAATTAAATTATATTTTAATTTCATGTTTCAATAACAGCAAAATCAAAGGAGTTCCCCTGAGATGGATAGGTGGAGAGCTGTGTACCATCTTGCTACAAGGCTTGTCCAGGCCGCCCGAAACTCTCAGCTGGAGCCAGACAAGCTGCGGGCATACCTGAGTAATCTGAAGAAGACATATGAAAAGGACTGCCCCAGGGCCGCAGACCTTCCAGAGAGGACTGAGGAGTGATGACTCACAGAGTGTACAGTGACTGTGTCTCAGTTGCTCAGTTTTACATTTTAATTGAAAATTACAGTATATTCCCTTCAGGATTTCTACCTATGCATTCTAGATGGAGAATATTCATTAGAATATCTTTTCTTTCTTTCCTTTTATTTTTTAATTTTGGTTTTTCAAGACAGTGTAGGGTTTCTCTCTATAGTCCTGGCTGTCCTGGAACTCATTCTGTATACCAGACTGGTCTCAAACTCAGAGATTGGAGATCCACTTAGTCTGTCTCCTGAGTGCTGGGTGTGTGCCACCAACACCAGGCAAAAGAAAAGTTTTTGTTAGAAAAATCAGACAATAGTTTTCATTTGTGAAGTCTGGTTAAGTTTGTGCTTCCCCACATTAAGTTACAGTTCAGGATACTGATAGACATGTTTTAGCTCTAAAAGTACCCTCCTAGGTATGAAAAGCTACTTCAAACATTTACATTCTGACGTAATGCTTTATGACTCAGTCACATCTTAACCAGGTTTCTCGGGATCAACACTGAAGATTCTGACTTCATTAGAAGGGTGCTGGGAATGAAAAGAAGTCTTTGCCATTCAGTATCGTCCTAGTGTTAACAAAAGCACTTGATAACACGGCCAGCGACACTGGGTGTGGCTTGTTGGCAGCGCTGCTTCCCGTGCTCAGGACTCTGGTTTCTGCTGCTGACTTGTTCCTCTTTCTGCTTTCGTCTTGACCACTCTTCTTTTTTACACAAAGGGAAACAGAGGCAGCACCCGCCTCTCTCCCTTGTGTATTCCCAGGGAACATTAGATATAGGCCCTTATTGCCAGCCCTGGCAGCCTGAGTTCAGTTCCTGGGGTCCATGGGATGAAATGAAAGAATTGATTCACTGCAGTTGTCTGATAACCTCCACATACACACTCGGTTAACATGTATGTGTGCATATACACACATTAATGTGAGGAATTAAGTGTTGCAGGGACAGTTGTTAGCAGAGTGGAGACCATGAATCAAAAAGGAGGAGACAAGAGTCGGCGGCCGGGAGGGAAGTAGTCCAGCAGTAAGGTGAACTGGAGGATATATTCAAGGTCATTCCTCAGATACGAGTCACATTTAACCTCTGCTAAATTCCACAAGACATCTAGGAAGTTTTCATCATTTAATCAGGAAATTTTCATCATTGCTGCAAAACCTTCAGCCAACTAATCAATCCAATTTACTTTTATTTAGATATTGATGTAAAAATAGTTTTATTATTTCCTAAAATTCCTTTCTCCCAAGCTGTTTAAAGCTATTTTGTATGTATCAGAAATATACTACAAAGCAAGTAAAATGAGGACGATTGCAATGTCATGAATACAGATGACTAGGAAACGGTCCCTTCCTGATTTTAAGATCTGTTTCTGTCTTTGCTATTTTTCTGTGCCTTCCTTTTATGTTATAGATAAGTATCCCACAATCCAGCCTTTCACTGTAACTGCCCACAATGTCTTAACAAGCTGCTGTATGCATTGAACACATGGTCCCTAGTTGTTTGTGAAGGTTATGGAACTTTGGGGGTGTGGAACTTTGCTAGAGGATGTATGACACTGGAGCTGGGCTTGACAAGTTTATAGCCCTGTCCTACCTGTGTTCTTTGTGCTTGTTGTGTGAGTTGGATGTGATCTGTCGGCTTCCTGCCCCTTTGACCATGCTTTCCCCACCGTTGTGGATATGCAGCCTCTCTGAAGATGTAAGCCAAGAAAAACCCTTCCTTAAGTGTCTTTTGGCCATAGTGTTTCAGTCCATATTTCCACCTCAGCAGTTTGTCCCACAGAGTAAACCTTGCATCAGAAGTCAGTATCAGGACGAGTTGGAGAAGAAAGGGAGCTTACCCACAGGCCTAGGGGCCATGTGTTATCTACAGTAACTCTGCCACATAGCGTTACACATTCTAGAATACTCACAGATGTCAGGTGAGCAGAGTCCCATTGTCCCCAGACACTCCCTTGCTGTGGTCTCAACTACAGCTGGCCAGACACAGGCTCTACGTCCCCATGAGGCTTCCTCCAGAATGTCCAACAGATGGGATAATGCATAGTCTTTTGAGAATGGCTGTTTTCACTTGGAAATAAACCCTTGTGCCTTTCACTGATGACAAGTGCCTATCGGGGTCTGTCGTTCACTGAGGGGTCTTGGATGTAATCTTTTAATGTGTTTTATGTGTATGGCTCTTTTGCCTGACTATATGTCTGTCCCACATGTGTGCACTGCCCATGGAGGCCAGAAGAAGACATCAGATCCCGTAGAACTGGAGTTACAGATGGTTTTGAGCTATCATGTGGGTGCTAGGAATCAAACATGAGTCCTGAAGAAGAGCCAGTGTTCTTAGCTGTGGAGCTACGTCTCCAGCCTAGTTTTCAATAATCTTGAGTAAAGTTATAAGCCTTCTTTAGAGGGTTTTACTGATGGCATTTTCAAGTCTAGATTACATAGAAAAGAGTTCTGTAATATATGAAGTATACCATTGATTTCATACACAATTGCCAATCTACCTCCCAGAGTTGTAAAGTGCTCACTGTTCCTTACTAGTTCTTGGTACCAGTAGTTTTCTGTTTAATGTTTAGAAATGATAACATTTGTGTTAGGGGTAGAGGGTAAAGTCTCTTTCAAGTTTTGGGGGTAGTGGTATTCTTTAGCCAGCAGTGATACTTTATTTCTATCTCTCCTGGATTTTGAGTTTCCTTTAGCCTACTTTCTCTAAAAGCACATTTCTAAATTTGTTCTTTCAAGCAAAAGTGTTTAGAATAGGTCTTACTTCTACTTGAAAGCTACAACACAAATCCAATACAGTAAATATTTACTATGAGGCAGGTAACATGTTAGAAGAATAAAAGGCAGGATATTTTCCTCTAAACCCTTCAGGAGGACAGTGCAGTAATACTGTAACATATTTAAGGTAACAACACAGTATATAACTTTCATTGGTCACAGGATCTTTAAAGGATGGCATGACAAGGGTTTAGAGAGGGCACTTTTATGAGAAGAATGAATATGTAAAAGCAAGGTGAGATGGTAGGAAGGTTGGCGTTCCTGGTGAATGGAGAGCATGTGATAGCCAAGGGAAAGGCTAGGTGCCTTCTGTCACTTTTACCTGAAGAACACTGGAGTTTGAAGGTGTTTTTATTGTTGGAGGTTCAGGTGTGTGTGGTAGTGGTAGTGGTGATGCAGGCTGTAAGATGACTCCAGTATCATTTTACTGAGACCATGAGTGGTAGGATGAATTGATCCGAGGTAGCTGTGTGATCTAGGGTCAAGGAGACCAACAGATTAGATCATTTCAGTAGGGTCTGTGGTGGCGCCAGATTGAACAATGAGAAGAGGCTATGTATGCAAGAGAGGAGTAGAAAATGGCCAGGGAAGAGAGCATACTGGCTTAAAAGACACTGAGGTTTTGCTATGCTTTAACCAGATTTAGTAACTGATCTGTAAACCAGGGGAGATCCTTGAAAAATTGTTTCTAATTCTGCCTTTGTGTAACAAGCTGGATATCACAGAAAAATCTAGGGCTCTAGGTATTCTTTAAAGCTAAAAATGTGCTTTGAATACACCTATTTTTTATAACATTAAAATTTGTATATATGAAGATTTGATATTATATGTTATACAAAAATAAATCTTTTATCTAATGCATATAATTTATTTCACTGCATAAAAGGTAATGGGTAAGGTTACAGGGTAACTATAGTGTTGGGCTCAGGATAAATGAAAATATATTTTTAAAATTTATCTTATCTTGTGTATGTGTTTTGCCTGAATGGATATATGTATACCACATGCATGTCTGGTACCCACAGAGGTCAGAAGTAGGGGATCCCCCAGAACTGGAGTTATGGATGCTTTCTGGCCACCATATGGGTGCTGGGAATTGATCTCAGATCTTCTGTAAGAGAAATTAGTGTTCCTAACCACTCAGGAATCTCTCTAGCTTTGAAAAGGTATCTTCTAAGAGATTATCTCATGCAACAAACTTTCGTGAAGTTAATAGTTTATTAACTTCTAAATGTACAGTGCTGTCATCCTGAAGAACAGCATACAGATGCATGTTAGCTTTCCAAATTCAGGAAGTTTTGTAGACGTGCAGGAATTAGAAGTGAAAATATTCCATTTGGGAGCATATTGTTGGCCAACAGTTGAGTCCTAATGGTTATTCTGCAAAGGTGGACGAGTTCACATGGATCTTTGTATCTCGTTGGAGGGATGTAGTCCAACCAATTTTGAATGATTGGACGTCTTCCCAAGCTCAGCTGTGTCTGGAGAAAAAGAAAGCTTTGATTTACCCTTGAAACAGTCTCAAGTATTTAGCACTTTTAAGAGATAGTGAATTTATATAACCCTGGTAACCTTTATTTATTAAAGCCTTTTCACTGTATAGGTGTTCTATTCCAATGTTGTCCTCCCAGTGATGAAAGAACCGCATGGGAAGGCACTAAGCAAAACTGAAACAACGAGGAGGAAGTTTATTTCGGATGGAGGATACTTCTATGTTGTCACCTCTTCTGTCAGCACAGCCACATGCAAAAACCATCCAAAAACTAAACTCACCAGTGCTCAGGTCCTATTCAGAGAGTTTTATTCTAGACACAGGTGATGTAAGTCATACAGCTTCCCAGTCGGCCCCAGCCCATGTAGATCAGCAAGACCTCAGTGGAGGCCTGCCTGAATGAAGGGAGGTCTCCTTCAAATTTTAGGAAGCATCTTTTCAAAGATTCTGATCTGGAGGTCAAATGCCAGAGGCTAAGAGTATTGCTCCATTGAGAGATTTCCCCAGGGACTCACATGGCCCTGGAAGAAGGGAACCAACGCCACGAAAGTGACCTCTGACCTCCAGTTGAACCCCATTGCACATATGATATTTAAACAACATAACAAAGCCCTTCTTTGTCCAGGCCTTGAGACACTTACCCAGTTACACTGTTGTCAACTGTTTAAAGAATATCTAATTTATATTTAACTGTGGGAAGAGCTTGGGAAAATGACTAGGTATGTAATGTAGACAGTGTCTGTGCATACAAGGACGTGGCATAGAGACACCCAGACATACTTAAATATGTCTGCCATATGAG